ACTTCCGTAGTGATACTGCCTTGGAAACCCAAGGAGGGGTCGCTATGAGTCGGGGCCGACTCGACGGCACATAACAACAACAACAACAACAATATTTCAAAACTATTAAGTGTTTTGAATATTAAGAATAATGAATAAACTCATTTAAATGGATTCATAAAGTACATTAATGATACAAATATATGTTAATAGAACCGACCCCATCAAACTTGGTTTTAAAACATTTTCCTGTTGTAAAGAATATCATCAGTGAGTCCATGAAGCTTAAAATGCTTGGCCAAAAGTTTCAGCCTCAAAACATCTATGAGCTTATTCTAAGCCAGCCAATACTGTTATCGTTGTTTTGTGCCATTAAGTCAATTTCAATTTACAGCAACCCTATAGGACAGCATAAAACTGCCCCATAAGGTTTTCTAGGCTGCAACCTTTACAGGAGCAGATTACCAAGTCTTTTCTCTTGCAGAGCAGCTGGTGGGTTCAAACCACAGACCTTCTGGTTAGCAGCCAAACATTTAACTATTGTGCCACAAGGACTCCTTCAACAAATATTGTTGTTGTTGTTGTTGTTGTTGTTATGTGCCGTGTAGTCGGACCCGACTCATAGCGACCCGTCCTTGGGTTTCCGAGGCAGTATCACTACGGAAGTAGATTGCCCCATCCAGAATGCCTAATTTTCACTAAATATTAGGCAAAAAATAGCAATAGATTAATACCTAACGGTAGTATATATTTCAAATGCTAATGGATAATTCAGATTGGCAATACATATATAAAAGCTAACCATCTAGATTTTAAGGATCCTTTCTAAACAATCTAGGTCCCTGGGTAGCACAAAGGAAGAAAGACCTGGTGAACTGCTTCTGTAAAGATTATAGCCAAGAAAAGCCAACAGAGCAGTTCTACTGTCTAATGCAAGTCGGAATCACCTTGATGGGTTTTTTGTTTGTTTGTTTGTTTTGGTGTCTCAGTAGTCTGAATTAACTATCCAAACAAACAAAGTTCAATACAGATTAGATATATACTAGGAAAAAAATATTGATTCACATTATTTAGAAGTGACTATCTGCCCAGAATAGTATTTCATTAGCTTTCCATTCACCTTTAGTGGTAGAAGTTCTCACACCAGTAAAGAGAGAGAATTCAAAATATGGGAAGCATGTCCTATTCATTTAAGAAGCCAAAATACAATTTTAAAGAAGGAAGGTCATGCCTCCTTAAATAAACTTTTTTCCAGGATTTCAGAATCTTCAATGACAATGAAAATGCAGCATAATCTAAGAAAGAGAAAGACTGCATTTCCTAAGCAGAATTATCCATGAAAATAACTAGAACTGTGGCAAAAATGCAATTAATTAGCAGAGTGATATTATACAAAGGACATCTATCTATAAATAAGTTACTCTCAAACAGAAAATTAACAAAAAGCAAGGAGCTTTCTATAGCAAAGTACCTAAGCCTCTGTAAAGAAATATACAACCAATGTAAGGCAAGCAACTCAAATGGATGCAGGACAGCAAGCTAAAAGAAAGTGGCTAAAAAGAAAATTCCAAAACTCTTGGGGGCTATTTACATTAGTGTCTAAAGCATCTGACTGCTAACCAGAAGGGGTGGTTCAAACCCACCAGCCACTCCTCGGAAGGAAGACCAGGCAATCTACTTCCATAGGGATAATGCCTCGGAAACCCAAGGAAGAGTCGCTATGAGTCAGATCTGACTAAACAGCAGTGAGTTTGGTTTTTTTGGTTATCCAAGGCTTGAAAACAATTATTCCCATACCCACAAGACAGAATAATAATAGAGTAAGCATAGTTATTTTCACATCTATTCTACATTTTTCCTAAGATCTAGAATATCTTTCCATGTCCTATCTTCAGAAATGCCAAAGTACAGATCCCACAGTACATAAGGCTTTGAACCAATCTGAACCAGTTCAGTAATGGCCAGTAAAGCGAAATCAGAACAAAGCGAAATTCATAAAAACTATAAAATGTGGGTAATTTGGAATGATAGCCAGAATAGGAAAAATTACATGTTGAAGCCCTGGAATAGGACACTTGGAAGAGATGCAGTGAACCTCTTCAGAAGCCTGATGTGCAACACTGGATTATTTTGCTAGGAGAGCAAAATAATACGTTCAAAGTGTGTGGTTGGCCTCCATCATTTAAAAAAAAAAAAAAAAAGTTGCAGTTGAGTCAATTCTGACTCATGGTGACTCAATGTGCTACAGAGAACTGCACTCCATATGGTTTTCAAGTCTGTGACCTTTCAGAAGCAGACCACCAGGCCTTTCTTCTGTGGTACCTCTGGGTGGATTTAAACTGCCAGTCTTTCAGTTAGCAGCCAAGTGCTTAACTGTATATAGCAGGTGCTCAATAAAAATGTCAAAAACCAAACCAGTTGCCACTGGAGTCAATTCTGACTCCTGGTGACCCAATGTGTTACAGAGCACAGCTGTGCTTCATACGGCTCTCAAGGCTGAGACCTTTCAGAAACAGATCCCCAGGCCTTTATTCCAAGTAGCCTCTGAGTGGGTTTGAACAGCCAACATTTTGGTTAGTAGTTGAGCGTTTAACTGTTTGTGCCACCCAGGGATACTCCAAATACCATTTGTGTGTTTTATTCACACACAAAAACTATCTGTGATTTGTAAATAATTTTGGTTTTTAATAAAATGATATCATAAAATAGAAAGATGATAGGGTACCTTAGCTTCTCACCTACAAGACTGGATCAAATTATTAGTTCAAGAAGAATATCTCCTGTGTAGATAGCTCCTATCTCCTACTTCACCAAGATCTTAAGCTTGGTTTAAAAAAAATACCAAAAAATAACACAGTTGTCCAGTCAATTCCAACTCATACCAAGTTAGCCATAATATCATCCTAAGAAGTAGCAAAGTAGAAAAGATAATCTTCTGAATATAAAACTAAGAAATAAAGAGTATCAGGATAATCTATTCAAATGAAAACAACAAAAAAATAAAAACTTCCACAGGTATAAATTTAGTCAAACTGGTTCCCTCATTTAATTGTATTTGTTCATCTGTTCTCATCAGTTTGTAGAGAAAATAGCATACTGCAAGACATGAAGCTCTAACCAGACACTGAATTTTAAAAGCAACAACAACTAAAAGAATATCCTACAGTCAGTACAAAGTCACCCTAGCCCCTAATATACTGTACATTTACACTTTTAAACAAAGAGAGCTAATGTCCATAAAGCCAACACTGAGTCACTTTGAGAATCAACAAAATTGTAATTATGCTTTTTGAGCTGAACTGAAGCAGAAAAAGTTATTGGTATATTTTAAAAATCATTTCTACATTTTAAATCATTCATTTTCTGTCTAATCCTTGATAATCAGAATATGAAATTAATTAGAACTTGCTATTTTCCAAAACAAGGACCTCTGGTGGTGCTACAGTTAAAGCAGTGGGCTCCTAACTTAAAGGTTAGCCATTCAAATCCACTGGCCGCTCCATGAGCGAAAGATGAGGCAGTCTTCTCCGTAAAGATTTACAGCCTTGGAAACCCGATGGGGCAGTTCTACCTTGTCCTATAGGGTCACTATGAGTTGGAATCAACTTGACAGCAGTGGGTATTTTCCAAAAATTCACGTTAAGCAGGAATTTATCTACGCTTATAAAGCTTGAAATTCTACCAAGTCTTATCCAAATTATCTTTAATTCTAAAAGTAATGCAGACATACAAACATAAAACTTACTCAGATTCGCTGTCATGGATTCTATATCTGCTATTAAAGCTGGCAGTTGCTGGAGCTGTTCCTGTAACTCTATTAGGCTTGTCTTTTTTTTCTCCCAGTGTGCTGACAGCATAACCACCTCACTATCCACCAGCTGTGACACAAAAGAGGGACAGTAAAGTCAGATCAGATTTTAGGAACAAAGAAATTACAGTTAGCATCATGAGATTTAGTCAATGTTATCTTTAACAATCCTTCCACTGAGCAGAGATGACAGTGCTAAAGACGACTGAAGTTGTTTTCTTTTTTAGAAAAGAACGCACTTGATATTCAGCTCGAGAAACCTCAAATTACGGCTTGTATCACTGCATCTTAACTCAGAGGAGAGAAAGTTCAGAAATGACCTTAGAAGTCACTTTTAAGTATGCCCTGTTTTCAAGTAAACTATAAATTTGAAAATCCAAATCTAGAAAACACAAAACAAAAACTATCACTGACAATGGAAAGCAAACAAAAACAAGCCCAAACCATAATTAACAGATAGTTCTTTGCTTTAGAAAATGAATTATTTTAACAGAAAATTTCCCTAATGCAGTTGAATATATGATGATTGCAGTTAGAATATATGATGATTCCATTTACATTTCAGTGAGAACACTTACTGTAGAAAGTAATTATTGAGGCAACTGATCAATTCCAGAAAAAGGAGATAAGGATTTAAGAAGGAATGCAGATATAAAAAGTTCCTAATAGTAGGATTGTCTGATACTAGACTAGCCTGAGATAATTCTAACTTTTCTTGAAGACTGTAAAGAAAATGATAGGCATCAGTTTCTCCTAGAAAATTTTGTTTTGGTCTTAACATGGCTAAGTGGGAAACAGGCCTAGAATAAGATTGAGAGAGAGCAAGAAGAGGTCATCTTTTGAAAAATCAACTATAAGGAAGAATTGTGAAATGAATCAATTTCTGTACAATAAAACTTAAAAAATGGCAAAATTCATTATATAGAAGAAAATGCACTGGAATTTTATATGCAAAGCACTGACCTTCAAGTTAATTTTTTTTTTTTTTTTTTTTTTTAAAAAAAGGCAATTTCCACATCCCAAGATTAAGATTCTTCAAGAGTTGGAATCTGAATACAACTGATTCTTACCAAATCTCACTAAAACAAGAAAAAACTTTACAGGAATGAATATATCAAAATGATGTGTAAAATGATTTGTACATGGTACTAGGTTGTGTTTATTCCTACATTTTAATATTCTGGGAATACATAATATTTTAAATAAAGGAACTAAGCTCCATAAAGAGGTTAGAAAGCTGCCTATTTCGACACACTATCCCCATGCTCAACACATCTCCCTAATTGCTTTTTGGCTCAGACTGAAGGGATAACTGTATCATCTCTCACACAAAAGTGCCAACCAAGCCTGGTAGGTGACAACAAGCTTGACTTAAGTTGCATTTCTCATTAATTTTGTGTATTTAGAAATGCTTACTGCCAACTGGTCTTTATAAAGAAAAGTTTTAAAAGTACCCATTATGTAATGAACAGGTAACAGTACAGTTCTGAGAACCCTTTCTATTGCTAGATTTTTGCTTTTGTTCTTGTCATATGCTCCTGGAGGAAAATCCCTAGAAAATCACCACCAAAGCTCCTATATATTTACTACACAATTTAAAAAAACAAAAACTATAGTCCAGTTCATGCCTTTCACAAAATTGAAAATTATGTTCCATGTATGGCCTATAAGAACTATATATAGAAAGAACTTCTCAAAATGCACTAAAAAATAATTTTAATTTAAAAAAATAAGGGCTTGAATAAACTTTCAGAAATTGTTTTACAGATGTCTCAACATATCACAAAGGGCTCTGAAATAACCAAGATGACAACATTTTGAGTTTTACTATGTGCCAGGCCCTGTCTTAAATAATTTACATATATTGTATCATTGAAACATCACACCATTATCATCTCCATTTTACAGATGAGGAAATTGAGGCATAATGAAGCTAAGTCACTGTCCATGTGACAAAGCTAGGTCACACTGGACCTTAGATTTAATCCCAAGGAAACCTGATACTTAAATCCATGCACTTATACAGTATTCTAGGCATTCTACTACAGGAGCATATGACAGGAAAAACAAAAGCAAAAATCTAGCAATAGAAAGGGTTCTCAGAACTACACTGTTACCTGTTTATTACACAATGAGTAATTTTATACTTAATAACAGGAAATCATTAAAGGAATCGAGTATCAGGAGTTAGAAAAACCCACAGTGCTTCATTACAAAATTCTCTCTGGTAGACAATGAAGTAGAAGAACCAAGAAAAGTCAGGGACTATCTGTGATTTATAATATGGCTAATAACAGGACCTTACAGTTTAGAGTTTGGGGAGAAGGGGTACGTCATTTGATTTCCAGGGCAAATGGTGTTAAATCATTTTACTGAAAGACTAAGTTATTTGCCCTAAGTCAAAATATACTAATGCAGCCAGGACTAGTAACTAGAATTTGCAACACCCAGAGTGTTGCAGGTAGAGGAAATCTATCCATAAACACAAAGACAGAGCAACAGTTTGGTTCAAACAGTTTATACATCAAATTATTAAATTATTAAACAAAACTATGAATCTTAAGAGGTCAATTTGAATGCAAGCAAATATTTCCTAATAAAAGAAATTGGAAGCGAACGATGCACTACAACTAACTTTGGAAAACTGCCCTCAAAGTTTAACCTCTAAATCATTATTAACAATTTATTACCAGTGCTGGGGAGGAAGGATCTAAGAACTCGTTTAGAAAAAATCTAGATAATAAGTGTACTGTTGACCATAGTTGTGTGTTTTAGAAGATAGTGCTCAGAGTTTTAAGATTATATGGTAAGAATTAGTTTTAAAATAGATGATTATAATTAGTCAAACAAGATTATTATATTCTTAAATAATTCGTAAGTGTTATCTAGCTGAAGCACTATGGTTAAAAGGCTACCAAATACACACAAGCATGGTCTGACAAGATAAGCACATGTATAAAACTGTGGATATCAAAGATTTCCACTTTAGATATTTACAGATGTCTCAACAATACATCACAGAGGGCTTTGAAAAAAAATTTCATTTTTAGAGCTGGAGACTATTTCTGGAAAGCAACAGACACACTCTAGATCAGATGTGGGTCTTAAAATAACCAAGTGTTCAACTATTAAAAATTTAAAAAAATTAAGCTTAAGATCCCTAAACTGCATAAATTTAACAACAGATCTTACAGGAAATTCTTTCTCCTACATATATATACATATAATTTTATTGTGAAATGCTTCCTACATTCAAATCAATAATTTTTTGTTAATGCTTCTGTACAGGACATAGTCTGCATGTCTTCATTTAACCTTGTTTGTGGGGTTCTTCCAATTGATACATGTAGTGAAAAAATTTTTCACTGCTATATGACATTTGCTTTTATGAATAATACCATAATTTATCTTGTAGATGGAATATGAGACTATTTAAAGTGTAAACAAATCCTGTTACAAACATTCTCATACAAATCTCCTTTTGCACATATGTAAGAGTTTCACACCACAGAAAGATGACTGGGCAATCTATTTCCATAAAGATTTTTTATTGCCTCAGAAACCCAAAGGGGGTCGCTATGAGCCAGAATCGACTCGATGGCAATGAGTTTGGTTTTGCTTTTATGAGTTTCACAAATTAATTACAGATGTGTCCAATATATTAATGCCTTCATTTCTCAGAGTGGCCCAAGGGCCCAGAGCAACTAGACCCTCTTCAGTCTAGTCACACCTGACCTTCAGTTGCTGTTATTGCTATGAGGTGCTGTTGAGTCTGCTGTACTCATAGCAGCCTATGAACAACAGAATGAAACACTGCCCTATCCCACAATATCCTAATTGTTGCTGTGTTTGAACCCACTGTTGCAACTACTATGTCGGTCCACCTCATTGAGGGCTGTCTTCTTTCACAATGATCACCTACTTTACCAAGCATGATGTCCTTCCCCAGGGACCAGTCCCTCCTGATAACATGACCAACGCATGGCAGACAAAGTCTTGCTATCCATGCTTCTAAGGAGCATTCCAGCTGTACTTCTTGCTTCCAAGACGGATTTATTCATCCTGGTATATTCAATATTCTTCATCAATACCATAATTCAAAGGCATCGATTTTTCTTCAGTCTCTCAGTAGATTTATTACAGTATGCTATCACCAATATTATTAGGGGAAAGCTTGGGATGTTATGTGACATATGACAGAGTAGAACTGCCTCATAGTTTCCTAGGCTGGTAATCTTTATGGAAGGAGATCACCAGGTCTTCTCCCCCTACAGCTCCTAGTCTGCCTAAACCACTGACCATATGGTTAGCAGCAGGGCACTTAACCACTGGACCACCAGGATTCCTGCTTGGGATATAATGCTCTTGAAATATCCCAGCAGTGGAATATTGTTTGAAAGGTGTGTGCAACTTCAATTTCCATTTAATGCCAACTCATTTTTTTCTAACACAACTGTGCCAATCAATTTATATTCTCTAGTTCTAGTTGTTCACCATGTTTCTTATAAGTGAAGAAACAAAACTGTCATTTGCAAGTGACTGCACAGAAAACTCAAGACTCCTTAAACTTTTCGAAAACTTACTAATTGTAAATTTGTGATTTCAATTTGCATTTCCTTGATTACTAAAGTGAGGTTGAACTTGATTTCATGTTTGCTGGACAGTCATGTTTTCACTTCTGTAAAATGGTCATATTTTTGCTTATTTTTCTACTAGGTTGTGCTTTTCTCATTGGTTTGCAGACACTATTTATTTTCTAGACACTTGTCCTATTTGTGAATGTTTGTGAAATCTGACAACTCTTCTATGGTGTTGTTTGATGAATAGAATCAAATATTGACAAAAATCACCAGTATTTTTATTTGTGGTTGGTGCTTTAAGAAATTTTTTCTTAAATTCAAAGGCATTAAAATATTATTTTCTAAAATATTTATCATTTTACTTTCCACTTTAAGTTGTTGAAGCCAAAATTTGGACAAACCCTTCAACTACTTTTATTCAACATTGTATCTGAGGTTCTAGCCAATCTAAAAAGACATTAAGAAATAAAAGGTGTATGGAATGGGGGAG